TGCTTCATAGCAGATTTTTTTTTCTCTCTCTCAATCAATATTTTTCCACTTCTGCTTCAAACAAAAAATATTAATAAAAAAAAAAAAAACCTAAAACAAAGGAAAGTTGACACAGCCACAACCACAAGCAGAAGTTCTGTGTCAAGATCATATACTTGCCTTTGTTCTATACTTCATCCTGCTTTCTCTCCCCATTCCTACCTTTCACAGAACCATAGAATGGTTTGGGTTGGAATCATCTAGTTCCACCCTCCTGTCATGTGCAGGAAACCCTTTCATTAGACCAGATTGCTCAGAGCACCATCCAACCTGGCCTTGAACACTGCCAGGAAGGGGGCACTCAACTCTTAACGTGGACTTGGAAGCTGTGAGTTAAGAACCTTACATCAATGATGCTGCACACCAGCGCCAGTCCAAGGAAGAAAACAGACTCTCCTCTTCAGTTACAAACTTAGAGTACTGAAAAATTGGGTCAAGAAGAGGGAAAGAATATTTCATTTGTCTTCCCTTTCCTATGGCTGTATTCCACAGTGATGTTTCTAGACTTGCATCACTGTTATCCAGTTTTGAAAAGTTACAGGTACAGTAATAGTAAAGCAATCTGAAAAGCTACAAAAGTACACTACTACAGTAGCACATAAATCTAAATCCTTGGTTTAGCTGATACATTGTAAGTACAGGGCAGTGCAAAATCTTTTATGTTGCCAAAAGATAAAGTGGCAGGAGGGTCTGCCCGGCAGCTACTGAGCTGGCAGTGAGCCTGGGAGCTGCCCAGGGTACACATCCTGGCGCTTCTACAGCCATCGATTTGAAAGCTGATCACTTCGTATTTCTGGCATTCCTTCAGTAACAAGATTAAAAAGCACATACTTGCTTTTTGAAAGGTGTTCTGAAACATACAGATTAAATTAAAATTACAGACTTTTTTTTTCTTTCCAAGTAGCTATATAGGTAATTTTTATAATAATCTTTGTTGCCCAAACGCAGATATGGAATTGAATAAGAAATAAAATAGCCCAAGACTGAGAAAAAGTAGCTACCTCAATTTTTTGCTTACAGGTAAACAGAAGCAGCAATAAATAAAAAGGTTTTATTCACATGAAGATACAGCTTTTGCAAGTGTTGCATCTGCTGTTGCTGCTACAGAATGAAGAACAGAGCGGCCTATTTTCTACTTGGCTCAAGCATCCCACTATTCCCTGTGCTTCTGACGAACCAGCAGTGGTGTCTTTTCAGTTTGCTGACTCACGCAAACATCCACCTGAAGGTGGACTGACATCCCGGTGAAGAAATACTCTGTAGTGGCCTGCATTCAAAGACTGATCATTTCGAATAAGTAAAGGAAAATAACTCGGTCATACACAACAAACAGAATTTCCAAACCTCGCTCATCCTAAAACTTGCCTCTCATATGAGGAGGAGATCCAAGAAATTAAATAACTAAGCACAACATTGTAGCTTACAATGTGAACCAAGAAGCAGCAAGGAGCATAATGAGGAGATGTAAGGCATGAAACAAAACTACATTTTCCTAACCATTACTGGAAAAGGTGCATTCCTTGCTTTACTGGACAGATGTGAATGTGTCCAAAAAAACAACTTAGCAAAAGTCAACATGATGCTTTGAAGTAGTACACAAACAAAAAAACTGTAACAGATTTTCCAGCTACATGAAGAGCTAAAAACCTAATATTGATGACCGAATTGCAATCATGAAGCTTATATCATGATTTCCCCCATCAAAGTCACTGGTCTGGTTTTAGTGTACATGAAATAAAGGATTGGACAGGTTACATACATGCCTATTTTCTACACCTTCTGGACTACAGAGGTATTAATGAAAGTTCTGTAAACACAGGTGCCTAATTTAGCTAAATGTATAACACAAGTAGTACCTCCAGACCTCATCAGACCATACAAACACTTCTTAACTAAATAGAAGCTGCAGCTGCTCAAAATCTCTAAAAATATAATGGTGCAGTGCATTAAAATGTAACACCAACATTGTTCAAATCTGACTATTTAAAAAAAAAAAAATCTTTTAACTTTCATAGAAACCAGTCAGCTCACTAGAAACATGCCAAAATTATATTCTACTCTAGGCTAAAAAAGCCAAACTAAGCTGTTACTTTGTCAAAAAACTGCTTTTATGCACAAGCCATTCACAGAGATCTAAGCAACGCAACCACTTTTTCTACCAGCATTTTATCGAACAGCTTGCCAAGCTCCATATAAACACATTTTACTATTTCATAAAATTCATATGCCAACTTTTTGAAACATGAAGTGACAAGTTCTCAGTGGAATTTCTGCAGAGCTACAAGGTTCTTATTGCCCTCAGCCTCCTGAGATTGTAAATTACCTACATGAAGCAAGAAGCCAGAATATTTCTTTTATACAGGAATGCTTTGCAAATTGGAAATACTGAAACAGTTTCTGCAATCAGCTAAAGAAGAATTCCTTTACACGAGGCTCAAAAGCGCACAATGTGATCAGCACACAATGAATATGCACCACTGCTAGATTTCTTTTGCTAATTTATTTCATTAGGGATCCCTTAAAGTTCATAACTAATGCCAAATATCCTCCAACCTGAATATATACTTTAGCTAGGAGTTTACATAAGGAAATTATCTCATATTAATGGCTTTAGTTGTTTTCTAATATTTTTCTAAATTATTCACATATTACTTTCACCCAAGGATCTAAACTTACACAAGAGCAACTAAGAGTGAACTCACCAATGCCATAAAATTAATATAAAGAAAAAAAAGAAAAAATAAGTCACTTTCCAGTTACATGAAGTAAAGCTTCTGAGTATACAGTACAGTTGAATTTTTGCCATGTTATATTACATGTCAATCTATCTGACAGCACTGAAACTTTGCACTTCCTTTTACCAGTTAGTTGTCTTAAAGCTCAAGGTCTCCCTTTGATTATTCCCAGCTCTGACACATTAGCTATCTTTTTATCATATTTACTTTTGCTATACTACCTATTTGCATTTGTCATAGTATTAGGGATTTTGAAGACATGTTCTTTATGGTGCTTTGTAGCAGCAATATAATTCCTGTAATGGCTTTCCTTTCAGATGATGGAAATGAAAAATGTCTGGCTTTAACTTACTCCAAATTTCTTTCCTTCTTAAAACTGTAAACCCAAAGCGCTGCCTTTTTTTATGCTGTTCTCACAAGCAGTAATTTTAGGCTTACTATATCAAAGAACAGCAACAAACATCTAACTAGCATTTTTGGTGGCTTTATTACTGCTTCCTTTCCTTATTACCACTTTCCTCCTATCCCATGTATGTTTTACATATATATGTATAAATTAATACTTAGGAAAAAGAAGCAACCATGATCACTTAACTCAAAAATATTGGAAGAGCTCAGTGGCAGCTTTGATATTTCAAGTTAGCTACGCTCTAGTATTCCTAAGGTTGAAGAGCAAGCTAGTCAGAATCAGAGCTCATTTCCCGGTAGTTAATCCTTCACTGGAATTAGTGTCTACCTTTCAGTTATTAATCACTTCTATACTACGACCTCCTAATTCAGAGTTTAAATTTTCAAGACACACAAGAATGCCATTTATTCCTACAGAAGGATCCCTAGACTTCTCTACTAATCTAAAGAAGCAGCATTCCATTAACCACTTCCAAAATTTTAAATAAAAGTTGTCATTTTTCCACGTTCAGTCTCTTCTTTTTCAAAGTTTCAATTGGCTATAATGGAAGGCTATTCCCTTTAACATTCTGACAGAAAGGAATCACCTCTAATTCACAGGTATATTTTATCCAACCTTACAGTATGCTTAGAACACTCTGCAAACACAGCCTGGGTTTGTGCACCAGGCACACATCACAGTGAAAAAGCGCTCAATGGCTCTTCTGAAAGCAAAGGATTCTATTTGGAACCCACACCTGCACAAAGCCTGGCTCAGGCCTCAGGACTGTTCCCCTTTAACAACTGTATGCCAGTCAAACAATCTCAAATTGCAACCCTACCTTCCCACTGCTCTCTTAACCACAATACTGTGAAAACAGCATCCATGGAATACTTATCCCATGGTACTGGCTTTCCTCAGAGAAGAGAAGAAACCTTGCTTAGCCAACATACATGGGCTTAATGCCTAAAGGACCTCTCTGGATCAAGCCACCAGCCAAGTGTTTTGTATCCTGCTCTTTCATGGGAAACTGATGGAGATACATCTGGGCATTGGTACTGGACAGAAGCCACCAGCTCTGCCTACAAGGAGCATCCCGGACAGGCCATCAAGCCAAGCTTGCCCGGCACTGGCACCAGGAGGGTGCCTGGGGCTGGGGACACACCAGGGACCAACACACACCCCGGGAGCTTCCCGGGCCGCTCGGGAGGGAGCAGCCTGGGAGGGGCCGTCGGGAGCCAGGTGCTCCTCCCGTCTCAATCCCCTGCAAGTAATCGGAACAGAACGTCAAATTACGAACGCGGTTACACAAAAGACGAAAGCGACGACCTGAAACACGGCGTGTAAAGCAAAGGCGACCCCAGGGCACAGCCTGCTGACACCGCACCACCAGGGATGGCGGGGGGGAAACGGGGCAGAGCGGGACGAGCTTTAGGTTGAACATTAGGTAGGACTGCTTACATAGAGGGTGATTAGACATTGGAATGAGCTGCCCAGAGAGGTGGTGGAATCTCCGTCTCTGGAGGTGTTTAAGGTAAAACTGGATGTGGCACTTGGTGCCACGGTATAGCTGAACACGGTGATGTGCGGTCATAGGGTGGGCTCGATGACCTCAGATGTTTCTTCTGGCATAAGTGATTCCGTCGCTCTGAGCAGTCGGGTACCGACGCCGGGGCCGGGGCAGCGGGGCCCGCTCCCGGCGCGGGGCGGGGGCTACCCGGGCGGGCTCCGCGCTCCGGCCCCCGCGCTGCCAGAAACTTTCCGAGGAGGGAGGGAGGGGAGGGCGCTGGTGCGGGGGGATGGGGGGGTTGGAAGGGGGTTCTCGGCGCGGCCCTTACCCGTCCTTGCGGCGGGCCTTGTAGACGTGCCCGTAGGTGCCTCTGCCCACCTTGCATCCCTCGTACTCGAACAGGTCCTCCACCCGCTCGCGCTCGGCCGCCAGCTTCGACTTGAACTCGTAGTCCATGTCTCGCCCATGGGCGGGGAGGGACGGGCGGGCAGGGGGACGCGGCGGCCGGATCAGCAGCCGCAGCTGGCGGAGCCCCCTCCCGGCGCCGCCATGTCCGGGGCTCGGCGGGGGCGGCGGGCGAGGGGGACGGGGGGGCCGGTTTGTTTTTGTTTTGGTTTGGGGCTTTTCGGCGGGGGGGAGGGGGCGCGCTCCGCCGCCGCCACCCGCTTCAACTGGGCTCCTCTCGGCGCGGCGCGCGAGGTGCCGGGAGTCGTAGTGCGGCTGCGGGAGACGGCCCCGCCGCCGCAGGCAGGACGCCGCAGCGGCAGAACTACAACTCCCGGCATGCCTCGGGCCACCCCGGCCGGGCGGCGTCGGCGCACTGCCCTCTCCGGAGACACCGGAGCGTTTCAGCGGCCGCTGGGAACTTGCTGACTCTTCACATTGCGCGCACAGGCGGGAGCGGCGAGCGCGGCCGGACGCGGCGCCTCTGGCTGGCAGGGAGGGATGGAGGGAGGAACAGAGGAACAGACAGTGCACACGCACCCATGCTGCGGGGCGCCGAACAGTGCAGCGACTTGTTTATCTCGCCAGCTGCCATTCACGGTCCGGCCCCGCCTCCCTGCGGGATGCTGCCCTGTGATTGGTCAGTGCTGCCCCGCCGTGCGGCGGGCGGGGCCGGGCCGGGCGGCTCCAGGGCTTGGCGCTGCGGGTCCATGTTGGAAACGGGAATCCTGGTAGGATTCGCGTAGTTAGGTGCTGCTGAATAAACCGATCGCTTACGGAAATACGGGGGCACATACTGTGTTTGCGCTCAGATAGAAACCAGGCGTGTTGCTGCGTCTTTATGATCCGATGCGAGATTTTTAGATAAACGCGGCACTGCTTTGGGGTTCAGATTTCGTCGCAGCACTTTGAGATCACAGAAACATTCAGGCCTTTTAATGTTATGTCTCGGTCTCTCGAAGATCTTTTTTTGTGAAAAGCATCACTCTGCAATCTTACTTGCATTATGGAAGTGCCAGGCAGAGGTAACTGTATGAAGAGTCACACAGAATCACAGAATCGGGCTGGAAAAGACCTGTGAGAGCGAATCCAGTCTATGCCCAAACACCACCATATCAACTACAGGCCGTGGCGCTAAGTGCTATGTCCGTTCTTTCCCTAAATATCTCCAGAGATGGTGACTCCACCACCTCTCCAGGCATTCCATTCCGAAGTCTAATGACCCTGTCTGTAAAGAAATTCTTCCTAATGTCCAACATAAGCCTCCCGTGGAGCAGCTTGAGATGATCTCCTCTCATCCTGTCACCTGTTGTCTGGGAGAAGAGGCTGACCCGCACCTACAGCTTCCTTTCAGGGAGCTATAGGGAGTGTAAGGTCAGCCTTGACCTGACCTGCAGGTTACATCCCACTCTAGAAGCAAAGCACTTGAGTGTCCACCTTGTGTGTTCAACCTTTGATTACTCCTGCCAGCAGCAAGTGAATGAAGCAGAATTAAATTAGAGGAGGGGAGAGTAAAAATGGCATCTCTCCATACACAGAAACAATCTCAGTTCGTCACCTGCTCTGCCAGCATTACTTACCACAATGGAAAGTTTTCCCACAAGCTGGATGGGAGGGGTAGAGAAGCTGATGAGAAGCTGTCATTGCTGACAAAGCACAGGGAGGTGTCAAGTGCACGATAAGGTAGGGTGCTATATATGATTACTAGTGCATAGCTAAGTCATGAGGTCATAGCCAGAAGTTTGTTTCTCAAGGAAAGGCAGGAGTGTAACCATTTTGAGGTGATTATTTCTTCCAGAAGGCAATAGATGATTCAGAATTTCCCTTGAGACAGGTAGCTAGCAACTGAAATTCTCAGAAAACTTCATCACTCCTTTACCAAAGTAATAATTTCCAGAGAACTGCAAGTGCTTTGCTTTGCAGTTGCAGATGTGGATCTTTCTGAGCAAGGCCTGATCATGAGCTGGCAATTTTCCTGAACAGGACAAAGAACACCATCGATCTTTCATGGTCACCATTAAAGACATTTACTAAGATTAGACCTAACTATTTAAATTTTGCAAAGGGTTCACATCTTTGCTAACCTAGTAATCAAAACCAACACTGAGAAGAAAGATGCAGACATAAAAAAAGAGAACTTATCTGTAGAAGGTTATTTTACCCAGATTCATTCTGGCAGTTTTAACATCAATTGGAATACGGACTACCTTGGTGTTGGTAATATTGGTAACGATAAACTCTTCAAGTAGTTCCTATTGCCCTCTTTGACCAAGAAAAATAACCATTATTGCCCATTTTCACCAGTAAGGCATTTGTTTTTACTCTTTTAATTTTACAATGTACTGACAAGACTGTCTTTTATTATAATTTGTTATAAGTCCACAGTGCTGCTGAGAGAGGGCTAAGAGCACCCTCATTATGGTGACCTGGCACTTGTAAGCCAAGGCAGTATAATTTCCCCTCCACCCTATACTGTACACAGTTCCCTAGTGTTGCAAGCAGCCATTTTATCCTTTCTTCCCTAAATTAATTGTGCTTTGCCAGTAAATTTTTTGGCCCTCAGTGCTGCTACTGGGAGGCTGTCCGAGAGAAACCTCTCTAACAGCTGGAAGCCTTTTAAAAATGTCAAACCTACGTTTCCTAGTGACCACGTCCATCTTTTCTTGCTGTGCAAATAGTGTCCTGAAGTAGCCTTTCCCACTCTCCTGTGTGTACCCCTGCCAAAAGTATTTATAGACAGCAGTCTCATCCCCACACAGCCTTGATTTTGCTGGACTAATCAAGCCATGCTCTTCTCATTCCCTTTGTGAGCCCCACCAGTGAAGGCTGGACTGGTACAAGTCATGTTGTGGAAAAGCCCAGAATGTGATCTGTGCCCTGATTCCTTCTCTCATGACTCAGCCCTACTTCTACTTTCTGAATCCTTATGTTGGCCACACAAAAGCCACTAAAAGTGTAGAACCAATTAAACAGCTTGAAGCACAGGCCAGATTAGAGGCTGATAAGAATGAGGCTACCATCTCATTTGTGCAGAAGTTTTATTATGGTCGAAAGATGTAAATGGGCTCATTTGTTTCTTCTTGAGATTGGAGTATACAGCAGGATTCCATTTCAAATTCATAAAGGTGGAAAAAACTGTGTATGTGGCACAGGCTGTCAGACCTGCTGGAAAACAGCTGCCTGGCATCTCCTCTCCAGGTGGTTCCCAGAGGAGAAGCAGTAGCAAGAAGCCATTTATAGAGCAGTGACAGCAAATTGTTCAAGAGAAAGATACAGAAAAACACTGTGACATGTTCATTGCGCTTCCAAGTTAGTGGAACAGTTGTGATACCAGTAACACATATTTAATAGCATTCATGTAACATTTTGAATATGCAGTGCCATATCGTTTGTTAATTGTACTGACGCATAAAGTTTGAGTAGCCCTAGCAATGGAAACAGAAAATTACAAGATTGCAGATTGCAAGCAGGACTTTTTTCAGCCTGCTAGCCTAAATGAAGATGCCATATTGTCAGTCATTAGAATCACCATTTCTTCCAAAACTCGAGTCACTGTGGTTAAGTTGCATTGGAGGCGAAAGATATGTCAAGCAAGACTGAAAGTTGAGGAATTGAGTATCCTTACCAGATTTCTAAACAATTTTCCAACACAGATAAAACATGAGTTTCTAATGCAAAAAGGAAAATTTTGTTTTTAACACTTTAGTGCCAAGAAAGTGATACATGCAGAACTTTGTTCTTTGTAGATTGCCTTGCACTTAAAATACACTCCTATTTTCTTTCCAGCATGTTTCATTCCTTGGGCAATCTCTTAGAATTCTCTCTTCATTTGTTAGTGATATTAAAAGATAGGTGGTGTGATTTTTTTTATTTTTCTTGGCCACATTTGGAAGTAGCAGCACCTTTTCTTAATTCACTCTCTTTGTAAGCTTTTACTTGTTAATCAAATAGGAATTTTTTTATTCTTAGGGATCAAGATAGCATTTTTTCCAGTAGATCTTGAGTGGGATATTAATAAACATATGCACTCAGTGTGGACTTCTGTCTGTCACATTAAAAGCCAATGTTGCTTCACTTCAGAGTGGAAGGATGGCTCTCAGAATTCCAAGGGATATAAGTAGAGAAACCTTAGGATGAATATAAGTCTTGTATGTACTGTATTATCATCTCTTCATAAGCAGAGGAAAACTAACAGACCTGTTTCAGAATGTGTAGAGATATACTTGGAATGTTTAAACATACTAATGGCACTGTGAAGAGCTAATGAAAATGGGACAGAATACCAGAAGACTTCTAATAGGGATAGATTAGAAACTACCCAATTGATTCATATCAATTCAAGTTCATATGTTATGATTTCCAGTAAAGCTCTGAATTTTGGAATCTTTTATGTCAATTAACTTCTAAACCTCTATAGTAAAAGTATTAACCTTATAATATTGGTTTAAAAAAACAAAGTACGTAACTCAGGGGTTCTATCATAATTTTACAGTAAATCTAGAGAGCATGCTAGGAATGAAAGAAGGGAGTGCTGACTTCTGCACACATGATATAATTATTTGGCTAGCTCTGTTTTGTTGGGGGTTTTCTAATTCATTTTTATAGTACCATAATCCAAATAGTACTAAATGAGAAACCTTGTGCTGCTTTTCTTGAGCATAATCCAAGAAGCTGATTCCAGAATAGTCTGTACTGCTTTACTCCATGTTAAGGAAACTCTTGCAAAAGCTATTCCTTACCTTCTCTTTACAGACTAGCAAGTATGAACACTTACTTGACAAAATCATAGTAATTCAGTGGGAGATAGCAAAGTAAAATAGTTTATGTGAAATAAAGTGGTTAAAGTGAATGAATTAAAATGAAATAATTCTATGTTGCTCACTGTGCTAGAGTTCATCATTTTGCCTCTATACCTCAACCTTATTGCTCAAGCAGTGTAACCACATGTACATCATTTTTGGGATATCCACTTACTCCCTGTGAATTGTGAAACAAGATGCACAAGCTTATTTCATTTGGGGAGCAGCATGCAGTATTGTGGGCTGACTGCAGTTTGACAGAAAAAAAAAATAACCAAAGAGCCAGAGGATACTATTAACTAATGCCTTTGTGTTCACATTTGAGAATCAGCATGACAGCTGGTCTAGAAGGCAAGCCAATACCTCCAAAAGCAGAGATTTAGAGAAAACCTTGAATTCCAAAAATGCAGAAGTTGCCCATAATTATGGAGAAAGC